TCGTTCAAAACAGTTGCATTCGATCCTTCGCTGGCTGTGCTGATTTAAATCTAGCGGTTCTGTTGTGTCTCTGTGTTGCAAGTTCAGTGACGCAGGGAGTGACGATGCTCTCCGGCCAATCAGTGATCATCAGAGTTTACACGTCACGTTTTGGTAATGGTACGGTTCACTTGGAACCTCAACCGAGGTAGTACTGAAAAAAGTACAAGGTACCAGGTACTGTACCCAGTGGAAAACCCCCCAAAAGTGAACCGTGCCGTACCATGCAGTGGAAAAGTGCCATAAATATGTTGTTTTAGATAAATGACTGGTGAGGTAGGCATGTTTTAATCCATAGGCTACTTCATTAGAGTTTCCCATTTTGGGAAACTTTTACTTCACTACATTCCAAAGAATTTTTCTGTAGGCTACATTAATAACAGCGAGACTGCAATTCAGTCGTGAATTTGTGAATGAATGAATCGCCCCCTTTGAGCCGAATCGGTTCATAAATTGCACTGAACGGATAGTTCACGAATTGGCCTGTTTAACTCACTGAACTAGCCACGTCTGACTCAAAATTGACCAATGGCGTTATAAATTGCAAATTGTATAAGTAACCACTGTAAATAAAAATGACATTGAAATGACTGTGTTTTTGGTGTAAAAGTGTAGGCTAACATCAGACTGAGATCACAGTAACAGTCTGTATCTAAACAGTATGTGACAATCCATACCTAGTGTACCTAGTGTATGAATAGAATAATTTGATATAAAATGATGTTGGACAAAATCACAGAACCCAACCCACCTGACCCACCTGATATGAGGCACTTTAATTATTTTAATATCATGGAAGAAACATGGGAGGAGCTTCTCTATGACATCACTGCAGGTGAAGGCGGACTTCCGTGAAAGTGAAACTAACCTGGAAGATTTTAAACTCTTTAAAAAACTGAATATTTGAATAGAAACATTCAAAGACAAATGTGAGCAAAGCTGATACTCACAGGTATGTGATGGACATGAAAGAATGCAAACAGCAAACAAGTTTCGCAATGCGTATGTCTAACTGCCCATAGGAAAAATGTATTGCTCAGTGTTCCTAAGCTCTAAGCTCAGGAGACTTAGATGAGATTCTCATATATCTCTCATTTTAGTATCAACAGCATTTCAGATGTTTCTCCTAAAATTCCTTAGGAGAAATGGAAGTAGACACAAATGAGACATGAGAAATATTTGAGAAAAAAAGAGTAAAAACAGAGAATGTGGTGGAAGAAACATTATTATAGAAATAGTTTATTGCTCAGCGGTTGCTCTTTCTAACCTCAGGAGACTTCGTTGTGATTCTCATGTATTTCTCATTTTAGTCTCAACAGTGTCTCAGATGTTTCTCCTAAAAAACCGTAGGAGAAATAAAAGTAGACACAACTGAGACATGAGAAAGTTTTGAATGAAAGGAATCCAAAATGACAATGAGAGAGAAACGTGTGAGAAACATGGGAGATCTCTTTATTGCCTTGCTGTAATCTCTTGCAAGACTCCATTATAAAAATGTTTTACTGCTCAGAGGTTGCTGTTGCTTTTTTATTGCAATGGGGTTTTTCACCTTTAATGGTCAGGACTGTAGTAGAGACAGGAAACAATTGGATAGGTGAGAACTGAACAGGAGCAGGTAAGTACCTTTAGCTGGGATTCAAACCCATGTTGTCTGAGGTGCAGTTGTGCCTTCATGTCGATGTGCTGTCCACAAGGCTATGGCTCTGACAGAGGTTACTCTATGCTCAGGATACTAAGGGGTGATTCTCTTATATGTCTCATAGAGACATCAACTTTGTCTTAAGATGTCTTCAGTTTTATTTTAGGAGAAACGTTAAACTTTTACTAATATTGTAAATACTAAAACTATCATTTAAATAGCATTAAAGATTTCAGAATATCAAGGGTTACTAGTTTAAATGTTTAAATTTATCTTCAATGTCCAGCATTATATATACACCACATTTTCCAAACACACTAGAAAGGACTTACAAGTGCAAGATGTTCAGTATAAGAGCAATACCTTTTCTTTTTTTTTAAACAAATGTAACACTAGTGTACAAGTGTTTTTTTTTTTTTTGTGTTTAGTATTAAAATGTTGTCTTGTACAGCCCATTTTGCGTGTATGTAAATATAGGTTATGGTTTCCTCTGTTAAATCACTGTGCAATAAAACACTGTCTACATAAAACAACTTCAAATAT